AAGGCTAACACGTTGTTTGTTGTTGACACACAGGAAGACAAAGGTTGTGAATTACTGTGAGGCCAAGGACTTTGATGATGGTGAGTTCAGTTAAACAACCTCTTTTAATCAATGTCATTCAAGTAAACCAAGTCATGTTCCAACATACAAACATTTCTGAGCTGACTAAGTCTCAACAACTTATCCTTTGATCCTAGAGATAAACTTTTTAAAACTTAGCCTAATCATCATAAAGGGGTACATATGCATACATAAACAGACTCAGTCTTCTCTCACCACCAACATATCTCCATGTACTCTCTTCATGTTGTGGCAGATGAGGATTTTGCCTGTGCGAAGGCTCCACCCAGCAAAAAGGCCAGGGAGGATGTGGTACAACAGGAGCACAAAAAATCATCAAGCAAGTCCTCCAGTCAAGAGACCAACTCACAGTCCACACTGAGCCAGAAAAGCAGGTTGGTCACAAATGAATGTGACATAGTAGACCATGTATATAAACAAGTGATTGAAATGATGATGATCTGTAGGCCACAGTGAGAGGAAAAGAACCAAAACCTTTGTGCTCAATCTGTTGTTGCAAGTTCAAGATATCAAAAGTAAAAATGTACAAGTACCAGTTTACAAAGTAAATATGCCGAGAGCCAGATGTAATGTCACAGTTTTGATGTTGTGACCACTAATGTAGAAAGAGACTTGCAGTGGGAAAAGGTGTTGACTGAAAGGTGACTTTCAATCAAGATTGGTCATCCAACAGACAACTTGCTGCCAGCAAAGGAGAACATACACAAAATGTAAACTCACGAACGAGTGAGACTTTTTTATTTTCAAAAAGGAAATACAATTCATTCATTGTGCCCTGTCACTTCACTGTGACAGGTAAACAGTATGATGTAGCCAGTAGATAATATGAAATCTGAGACTCTTGACAGTTGTGTACTTGGTGAGTATATTTACTGAGTTATACAGACTTGTCAAACAAAGAATCAGATTCCAAACAGGGATGTAGTATGGTGAAAGACAGTCCTGTGTCAACTTTAGCAAAGTGCGTCAGACTTTCATTTGTCACGTTTATTGTTTTCATTTGCTGTTGTTTTTTCAAATGAGTATTCAAAAATGTAAAGGAGGAAGACCTAACATGCGTACTACACATTTTAGCATCAGTCTAATCTTGAATTATTTGTGAGTGGTTTTTTTTTTTTTTTTTTTCTTCCATAGAAGGCCGTTGGATGTGAAGTTGTGTGAACGAGATCTAGAGGCAGCCATTACGCTTTCCTTGCTCAATAATGCAGAGGGAATAAAGGACCAGTCACCCACCACTAAAGGTATGCTGTGCCTTTTAAAATGTAGATTAATTTGTATACCATTGAGGTGTTTTCAGCTTTTATATTTCTGTTAAACTTCTCTAGGAGATGTCAAGGTTCAACTTCCAGTAGATGAAAACACAGATCCTTCTTCACTGCGCCTCTCGAACTGCAGTGTGGATGGTGCGATTTTGGGTAAATTTCCCTTGTTTTTGTACATTGCACACCTTCCCTCTTGTACTATACATTTAAGTTCCTTACACTTGCCAAAAACATTGTCATCTGTGATACTTTGAGAAGTTTTTGAAGCGGTTACAATTTATTTTCTTTAGGTCTGGATGAAATCACCTCTGAGAAACGGTTACCTGCCCCATCCACACAGAGAAAAGCTGCCACTAACGCCTCTGAAGAGAAGAGGAAGAAGCTGAAAGAAGAAGATGAGAACTATGAACCTAAACTGACACCAGGTTATCACTTTTTCATCCCTCCTTAAAAAGGTGGTTTCTGTTTTCTTACTATTTTTGTTGTGTTTGTGTCATTAAAATAACAATAATGTCATTCCAGATTCAGAGAGTGACGAAGATTTCAGTGAACCAGATGAGAGTGAAGATGAGGAATTCACTGTGAAGAAAGTCAGTAAAACTAAAAAGAAGGAGAAAGTCACCAAGAATGAGAAAATCAAATCACCTCCTGCTTCTAAAAAACAAAAGCAACCATCCAAGACATCAAAGTCCAAGTCACATGCAGCAGGTGTGTTCTTGGGATTCATCAAAGAAAATTCAGCTGTAATTATAGACACTTCAGATGAATTATTATGACATCTGCTTCATTTCCCAGCTGTTTCCACGCCAGTGCGAAGTCCACCAACAGCCAAACTTGCAGCCAAGAGACCTGCGTCATCCTCCACAGTTTCTACATCTAAACCTGCAGCAGCTCTGAGTCCATCAGGGAGCAGAATACCCAAGTGGAACCCACCAGGTGCAGTATGAGTGAACAAAAGCTAATATGCTTAAATGAAAACCTTCAGAGGCAATCACAGCAGTACCAGTAAACAGTATCAGTAAACTGAACTCTAAGATAAGTACCTTTTTCCTCCCCAGGTCAAATTGGTAAAAGTCCCACCTCCTCCCAGAGTTCACAGGGGAAGTCTCCAGGTCAGGGTCTGCGACTCGGACTGTCTCGTCTTGTCCGAGTCAAACCTCTTCACCCCAGTGTTGCAAGTCACTGACTGAACTGATCACTTGTCCGAGTTTGTGTCAGTGACTTCTTGTTGACCTTTTTAGCCTTTTCTCTTATTTTAAAAAGTTGTAAATATTCATTTCTATTTTTCTGGATTTATAATACAGTACATATGACATGATTTCCAGCAGAGCATGTTGTCATTTGATTGTCAGCTTTGGTCACCTTGATCTTTAATTTTTCCCCACTAAGGTCAGGGAACAGTGATAGGGTGTTGCCTCGTTGACTCCAGTATCATAAACCACAGATGAATACGTCTGTCTTTGCGTCATCAGCACAGGAATTGTGTATGTAGATTTTCAGATTTCTTCGGTCCTCCCCATGTCAGTTCACATCTCAGATTCAGGAACAACTGTTGTTGGTATGTGTACTTTGTGAAAAAGTGTGAATTACCCACTTTATTTTAATTCTCCGTCTTATTTAACTCATCTTTCTGTCATTTATAACTTTTTCCACCACTTTTCCAACAGTGTGCAAAATTGTATATTGTGTACATATATATATATATATATATAGTTTAATTTTGTATGCTGTTCCACACCAGGCATTATTACATACATTTTTTTAAAATGAGTATTAGCTTTGATGTCATTGTCTTACAGTAATAAAGAGGTAGAATAATGAATGGAATTGGCTGCTATCCTGTGTATGAAAAGATTTTAGCTTGCTTTACTTCTCAGTCTGCCACGATTTGTCTCATACACATTGTTCTTGTTTACAGATAACGGATTGGTTCAGTAATAGTTCATAATGTAAGGCTGCATTTGTCAAGTATCCAGTTAACAAAATCTAAAAACAAAAGCTACCTGTAAATTTAATAGATTGTAAATTGATTAGAAACTCTTACATTTTTTTAATACAGATTAAACAAATAAGATATGTGCTGATTACTGGTGTTTAGAGGTACTGATAAGGGTATTTTGTTACCTTTGGACAGAGCTATGCTAGCTGTTTCCCACCGTTTCCAATCTTAATGCTAAACTAACCTAACATCTTCTGGCCGTGGCTTCATATTCAACAGGCAGACATGAGTGGCATCAATCTCATCTAACTCTTGGCAAGAATGTGAACAAGGGTAGCTTCCAAAATGTTGATTAAATGCCTTTTAGAAACCTGGAGCTCTGTTAAGTTTGAGAGCAGTAAAAGTGAAGGATTCTTTCAGAAGTCTTTCATCTCTGCTTTTAACAATGTGATAACCACAGGCACTGAAATCATTGTACTTTATAGGAAAGGATTGTGATCTCAGATAACAGATTATCGGCCCAGATCCTCTATTGAAAGTGTTTGATAGGGTCATATGAGTGCACAGCCTGAGGGACTATGATTTTTTACCACGTGTCTTTTTCATAAACATTATTTTGCACATAAATGGGAACACTGGAAACTATCTTGTGTCTGAAAACGCAAAGCAGGAAGAAAACCTCCACACACAGGACGCCTCTCTCCTAATCTGTTTTTAATGTTTAACAGATTACATGAGAACAAAACAATGTCCTTGTAGTGGGTCAATTAAGTTGGAGTGTCTGATAAATATTTCCTGAAGTCAGAACAGGTTTTGAATCGCAGGAGTTTACAGGCAGCACCATTAAACACCAATATTAAATAGGACAATGAGACTTAATCTTACCTGGAAAATAAATTATTAATTTATTTGTACTATATTGTGCAAGATTGGTTCTTAATGTAGAGTTTACATTAAGGTCTGTTATCTGTCTCTGACCAGAAAGACAGATGGTTGGTGAAGTGTCAAACAGTACAAGGATGCAGGATCCTGTTGAGAGATAGGATGATATTTTTGTGGGTGGGAAATGTGACGGGAAAAACTGACATGCCCCTACTCAAGCCTGTCAGAAGCCTTCAGAACAACTTTATTGCTCCTTGATTTGATTAAGGCCTGTCGTAAACATATCCTAATCGTATGAACTGTAGTGAGTTTAATCAGAGTTGCTCAAAGACATCTTGAATAATGAGCAAATATATATGATGGGCCAATCAATATGGTGTTAATTGATATTTTTGGGCCTCCCTATCAGTCTCAAAAGCCTTTGGTAGACCTATTCCCAAACACGGCCTGAACACATTTACACAGATTAATGCTGATTGAACAATTTGTTAAGGAGTTTCAGCCATTTTTTCTGCTAAGCCCCGTCCACTGTGAAGTTTATTGGTCGATAGCTTGAAAACTAAATAAGATATCACAATTAATTAAATACTGTTGTAATGTCTAAAGTAGTGTTGTATCTGACGTGTCTTTCCAGCCCTTCCAGCACCCTTCTGAAGTCAGTGTTAACTTCACTATATCAGATAACACAGCTATGGTGCCTCACTGTGTGTAACTGTACGTATGTGTGTTTGTATAAGTGTGTAACGAGGTAGGGAGGAGAGAAAACCAGAGGAGCGGTAGCACCTGAAATAAAAGGAAGTGGAATACCCTCTCCTCTTTTTTTCTGTCAGTGTGAGGCAAACCTGAACACATGCCATGCACAGAAGCACCATGGTGAGATCTGGCTGGATTAAAGGATTACTTTTGGCCTTTGCCGTGGCTTCGGCTCTGTTATACCTCGGCTCCATTAAGAGGGAGGTCCATACGCATTCAGAGAGACTCCAGAGGGCCCACCAGAATGACTCGATCAGGGGCCAGGGAATGCTCAAGAGGATGGACAGGATGGAAGAAGACATCAACAGGCTGCGTGAGTCAAGGTTTTTTTTTTCTTTTTGTACAGAATTAGGTCAACTTCATTTGAATATGGTAACAAATCAGTGCCATTAATCTGGTGATTTATTGGTCAAAATATGCTGACATCTAGATTAAAACTGAGATAAATTCATTTGAAATGTGTTTTTTTTTAAAGACATTTAGATTTAAAAAAAAAAGAAAAAAGAAGTTTCTTATATTTGTAATTGACCTTGACCTTGACATTGAAATTCAGCTATCAAAGTCAGTGTTTATGGGGAAAAGAGCTGCAACTAGCTAGCATTTACACCTCAATTAATCTTTTGATTATTTTCTCATTAAATTGATTGATCATTTTGTCTACATGTCCAAAAATTGTGAAAAATGTTCAGTTTAGTATATGACGAAGTAAATCAGCAAAAACCTCACATTTGAGAGCCTTGAACCAGAGAATTTTTTGGCGCTTTTTCTTGAAAAATGACCAACAGCCTGATTTCCAGCAAAACAACACACACAAGCTTGCCAAACAGATTACACGGTCATGTATTCTGGGTTGTTGAAACAGTTCATTTAGTTGTGCAAAGACAAACTATGACCACTATTTGTTAAATAATACGTACCATATCTCATGAAGGGGTGGGGCAGTTGGTTTAATCACCTGTCTTTGACTTTGCATGAAGGATAATCAAACCCTATTGTTTAATATCAACAGTCAATCTGATGAATAAGATTGAAAAGAAGGAACAGGCGGCACCGCAGAACGCAAAGACCAAGAAGGAGAGGAAGGTGGTGAGGAAGCTGTTTCCCAACTCGGCTCTGTTCATGAGGTGGGGTGATGAACTGTCAGAGGAGGAGCAGAAGGAGGCAGAGAAGTTGTTTCAGAGATACGGCTACAACGCCTTCCTCAGTGACAGACTCCCCCTCAACAGAGAGATCCCTGACACCCGACCCTCCAGGTGACTGATGATGACTGATGATCATGAGAAAAAAAAAAAAAAATTCAAACGTGAATATTTGCTAGGTGTTTGTTTTTATGATGGAATATCTCTGGGTTTTGGACTCTAGGTTGGATAAAATAGGTAATTTGAAGATATTACCTTTGGCTTTTTCACTATTTTATGCCATTTTATAGATGGTAAGTTTTATTTTTAAATAAAAAAAAAAATGCATCCTAAAACATAATACTGACTGAATAAAAAAAGGTTCCTTTGCTAAGTTTCCCTTTGATATGTCATTTGCGTCTTTATGGGCATCACTGAAACAAACACTACAGGTTACAATTTGAATCGAAAAACTCAATTCAAATACTTTTTCCCCCTGTCAGGTGTGCTGAGAGGAAGTACCCAGAAGATCTGCCTACTGTCAGCGTTGTGTTAATCTACCTGGATGAAGCTCTCTCCATCATCAAACGGGCCATCCGCAGCATCATGGACAAGACACCGGCTCGGCTGCTGAAAGAAATCATCCTGGTGGACGATCACAGTAGCAACGGTGGGTTGACCTGCTCTACTTCACTTGTGACAAAACCCTGTTTCTGGCTCTCCAGTTACTGTCAAGCTTTGGGAGATTATTCTGAGACATACGCAGTCATATATGGGAAAGGAAAAGGTAATATGGAGGAAAGGGTTGTTTTCTCCATATTACAGTAGATGTTGGAGCGGGAAGTGCACCCACACAATGCTGATGGTACAAATGTGGCTAATAACACCTGTGGGGGTGAACAAAATGTGTGTAGGGTGTTTTAAAGGAATAGTTTGATATATATATATATATGTATATATATATATATTTAATTTATATATATTATATAATATTATATTATATTATATTATATTACATTTATTTATTTATTTATTTTTTATTTCCGAGCCGAGAGGTGGGAGATGGGGATTAGACAGACTGGTTCTCCCTTTTGGAGGGAGCCCAGCTAGTGTTTACCATGTTTCCGGTGTTTATGCTAAGCTAAATCAACCGCTTCCTGTAGCTTCATATTGAACGTAGCCTATTTACCAAAATATCAATTACAATTGTCATGAGGACCACACTTGAAATTCCATCCACCCTCAATGTAATGATGGAAGTTTTAGAGGTGGACATCTCCCAACCAAATCGAACTGCATGGCTAAATGCCGCTATGGGTAAATAATCTTTTTTATATTTTGGGCCAGCCCTTTTAAATCTGAGTATTTTGTGAGTCCACAACGAGAGGCTGGTTGGTTAAATGATGTGGCCAAGTGGTTGCCAGAGATACAGCTAGACTGAATCTACAGCTGCATAACATCTTGACTTTCTGCAGAGGACTTGATGGAGAAACTGGATGAATACATCACCTTGATCCACGAGGAACGTCCAGGCCTGGTGAAGAAAGTGCGGCACTCTCAGCAGCTTGGCCTCACACAGGCCAGACTGTCAGGATGGGAGGCTGCGGTCGGGGACGTGGTGGCCATCTTGGACGCTCACATAGAGGTCCATGTGCAATGGTTGGTTGAGGTTCTTTAAGCTTTGAGTGATGTGACTTTTTCTTTGTATGTTGCTGTAATATTAAACCTGTCATCACATGTTTTGTTTCTGTGTCTGTTCTGTGGAACTGTCGCTATGTGCCCAGGGCAGAGCCACTGTTATCCCGTATTAAAGAAGACCGCACTGTGATATTGACACCGGTGTTCGACAAAGTCAACTATGATGACTTGAAATTGATTCCCTACATACCTGCGGCTGACGCCTTTGACTGGGCTCTGTGGTGCATGTACGAGTCCTTCAGACCTGAGTGGTACAGTTTAAAGGACGAGTCACAGCCTGGCAAGTAAGTTTCAGTTTAAAGGGTCAGTCACTCTCCGCTTTGTTTCCAGAGCCTACTTTCTTTTCTTCCAAAGCGTCTCTTACTCTGAAAGTTACGCTGGTGCACAGGTACTGTTACCAGCATGTAAGTGACCTGATTCGACACTGAGAAAGCAATCCAACTTTATCTTATCTGCGTTCCAACTATACACAAAGACCAAGTGTTGTCAAACTAAAATTGAAAGGCTTGTTTTTGCTTCCATCTTTGTGTACCACAATCATAATCCCCTTCACCTCCATTGTGTTAGTGGCAGATAAGGTCATAACTACCACAGGAGTTGTGTCTGCAGGATTTTTCTGGGAATTGGAAGGAGTTTTAAAACATTCTGCCATTTAAAAAAACTTGACATATGTTTTTCAGTATTTTCAGACTCTTATGACTCGAGTATGTTTACATTTGACTCCTGGCAGTTGGGATAGGGTTTTAAACAGATCTTCATGTTGGAAAATAAAATTACTTTACATTTCATAGTAATTTAATCCCATGAAAGTTTCCCGGAGAGAAGTTTGTAATATGGTGCTAAATACATGGAAATAAATGTAGTTGTTGTACAGTCAGACTTTGGTTAAGGACTCTATTAAACTAAAACTATTAGAAAACGTAATGGAACAGCCTACAGAATAAAACAAACATAGACCCATGACCTCTGTAAATTCTGGCTATGTCCCTGGTGACAGAAGAGTGAGAGTGTCTTAAGACCTCAGCAAATAAAAACAGAATGTATCTGCATGGCTAGATCCTTTTTATCTGCTCTTAATGACTCTCATCTAAAATGCGCTTGTTTGTGCGCTTGACAGTTTGTGTTCAGTGTTTCAATTCATTGCAAATTGTCTTCAGGAGTCCGTCCATCATGGGGATTCTTGTAGCTGATCGCAAGTTCTTTGGAGAGATCGGAAGCCTCGACGGTGGAATGAAAATATACGGTGGTGAAAATGTGGAGCTCGGCATCCGGGTAAAATTTTGACATGGTCTCAAATTTGACAAAAATACTGTGATTCAAAGTATGTATATGTACTGTATATGTTTTTACTGTAGATGAGGAGTTGCTGCTCTTAGCCTTTTTGTTTGTTTGTTTATGCTTGTTTGCATGTGATCCTTTCAGCAAACTAAAATATAAAAGGCAGCTGAACTACTGTGACCCTCTGTTTAACTATGTGAGTAATATGTCCAGGATGTTTACCTTCCCTTTGTCCAATGGATGCTGGGAAAGTCTTCGGACAAAGAATGGAAAATTTGTTTATGAATTCATGAGCATTTAAGTGCCGCGTTCACGTTTCTGACTATTATCTCTCCAGCATGTTAAGTTTTGCTTGTGTATGTGTATTAAATGCCCTTTAAATCTACTTTTTAAATATATGCCGTTTGTATTGCAGGTATGGCTTTGTGGAGGAAGCATTGAGGTCATACCTTGCTCTAAAATTGCCCACATTGAACGAGCAACAAAACCTTACCTCCCAGACCTGAGTGTGATGGTGAAGCGTAATGCTTTGAGGGTGGCGGAAGTGTGGTTGGATGAATATAAATATAATGTCAACATTGCCTGGAACCTTCCAGTAGAGGTAAGGTGTGACACTTTATCATGCACATAAATTCAATCAATCATCTAAATCCACAAATAAGGCTTCATAAATGATGTTTTGTGACTGACATAAATGCTATAGTTCCTTCCAACTTTTCAAAGACTTGTCTATCCCACAGAATCACGGGATAGACATTGGGGATGTGTCAGAGAGGAAGAAGCTGAGGGAGAGGCTGAATTGTAAGCCCTTTAAGTGGTATCTGGATAACGTATACCCCTTGCTGGACCCCCTGCACGACGTACTCGGCTATGGAGCTGTGAGTCAAAAACAATCTCGTGTCTGACTGAATGTGAGAGGCTGCAGGTGTCACAGTCGTACTTTGTTTAGGTTTCTTTTATGAGATTTAAGCCACTGTTCATTTTCAAACCATTTCTACTTGAAAAGTCAGAATCATCTAAGTCACAGGATATTTTGTTTCTCCGTGTTTTGTTTTCTTATCTTGTATTTATTCAGGATGGGTTTCTGACAATATAGTATCTATCATCATCATCATTATCATCATCATCATCATCATCAACCTTTCTTTATTTTGACAGACATACATTGAGGGGTGACCCTCATTTTCAATGATGCTGAGATTACAAAAGCAGAAAGAAAATAGTAAACAATCAGAATACAAAATTCAGTTCATATTGTCTTTTCTTGAAGTGCATTCTTGGCTGGAGCCTCAGAAGTTATAACTTTATTTCCTTTAGATGCCATAAGGGCTTTCTTTCTATTTCTGTTTCTGTTGGTAGCTGATAAGTGATCTGCAGTCAGGACTCTGTATCGACCAGGGCCCAGTGCCTGGGAACACACCCATTGCTTATGCATGCCACTACTTCTCACCTCAGGTATGTTCACAGGTTCACTGCATGCACCCTAATGCTGCCACTTTTTCAAAGAGTGAAGTTAAAACGAATTAGATATCCTTGTATATAATCTTGCTATCTTACCGGTGATTGCCTTTTCTTTTTCTTTGAACAATCTGATGAGCTTTATAAACTTTAGAATAAAAAGTGGCAGCCTTCATGCAAACAGACTATGATTTCATTTGTCTAAGGATAGTTAGTAGGTTTTTCTTTTGCATAGCATTGTTTTTATCGTACCAATGGACAACTCTACATCGGTGGAATCAAATCTCACAAGTACAACAGCAACCGCTGTCTAGTGGACACCGGCTCTGGAGTCTACCCAGGACTGTATGAGTGTAAAGTCGCCCAGCAGAAGAAGTTCCACATGTTGTGGGATTTTAAACAGGTGAATACTTCAGTTTTAAAATATAAATCTACACCAGAGGTCCGTCTGTCTGGAGAAAAAGAAACTGACAATAAAATGTTTTCTACCCAGGATGGACCGATCCAGAACAGAGAAACCAAGAGATGTCTGGAAGTTGCGATGGGTGAAGACAGCAACTACAAACTTGTTGTTCAACAGTGCAGTGGTCAGGGCTGGAAAATACAAAATCTCATCAAAGACCGTCTGGTGGGCAAGTCCCAGAAAACAAGATAATAAATGACCCTTAATTGAGCAAAAGCTGCATCTCGTGTGGGACAAAGATGTAGAACAACTGTGGGTCTGTGGGGTGAGTTTACATTTTTCTTTGGACAATTTGGATCCACAAGAGTCACACAGTGTAGGAACAAAGTTCTGAACTGGATCACAAAGGAGTAATAGTTTTTATTGAAGTCTTGTTTCTGCATCATATGTTTTTGACATGTAACTTTGTGACACAAATATGAATTGTGAATGAAAAATGTGATTACAGTTTTTGTAAAGGAAGGAAAAAAAAAGGTTGTGGACAACTTTGAATACTGTTGTACTTAACTAAACTCTGTTGAGATGACGAAAAGTAAAAATAGTTGAGAAGCTCCACAGTTTTCAGATATCTACCTTCCCGTGTCACAACAGAACACCCTCACTCAGGGCGTTTTACAGTTTTATCAGCCCTTCCTTTACAAAATAAACAGTAATGTCAAGAAGGCACTGGGGATTGAATTTCAATGGCCTGAATAAAGGCTGGTAATAACCTACCGGTGAGTACTAAAGCAAACATTCAAGTCAAACAGGATCCATTGTGGTTTGGCTAACATTAATTATTTGCAATGAAAGCATCCCATTTGTTCTGCCACATGATGCGGCCCGTGTCCTTCAGGTGAGCAGGAAGCGAGCTGTACCTGCAGGCAGAAGAAACTTAATTAGGCTGAACTCATCAAGCTGTGAGAGAGAGAAAATTGTATGTCTACAAACACCTAAGGCAAATACATTTAAACTCACTGACATTTAATCCAAATAAAAATGACCTGTTTTAGGGAAGTCGGGATCACTACTTCAATTGAAAAGCATGACATGTCAGTTTACATACACCTCGTTAGTTCCTTCCACGAGCTTCTCACAATAAGCCACAATAAACCAGACTTGCTGAGTAGTGTATAAAAACTTCTGACCCATTGGAATTGTGATATAGTGAATTAAAAGTGAAACAATTTGTCTCAAAACAATTGCTTGAAAAATTACTTGTGTCATGCACAAAATAGATGACCTAACATGAAATCTGCGGCGTGGTTAAAAAAAAAGAGTTTTAATGACTTCAACCTAAGTGTATGTAAACTTCTGACTTCAACTGTATGTGCTTTTATAGGAAAGCTTAATTTTAATAACTTAAACTTTATAATAATAACTTTATTTATATAGCAACTTTAAAAACAGAGTTTACAAAGTGCTTTGACAATCAAAGCCGAAGCAGAAATAGGCAAGGGGTTCAGAAGACAATATAAAAATAGAAAGCTGGACAGTGAGGCCAAACAAAAGCAATAAGTTAAATGGAGAAGACATGCAATATAAAACCTACAAATTTTCTTTTCTACAAAGCTTCTTTTTAAGGGGTTGCATTATTCTTGTGGTGCTATAACTTCAAGCTTTGAATATCTCTTGGTTGTGCTTTCAAAGACAATCCAACATCTAAATCCAGACGACCAACAGTAAGTAAATATGGACACTAGATAATGACATAATGAGATTTTCATTATAGGCTCATTTCATGAAGAATAACGAGCACTGATTATACACGGACAGTTTTCTATAGAGCTCTTGCATAAACAGTTTGCAAGTATGGCATTTGATTTGATTGGTGAAATGTGTCAAAATTAAGACAAAGTTTCTGATGTCAGAGGGGCACTGAACATTTCAGGAAGAGGGTTTTAAATGAGACCCTGCCCTTCATTACATGATATTACATTAAGTTTTTTTTTTCCAAAGTCACGTACATTTTATTTGATACACACTGGGAACAATTTTGTGATTTCAATCTCTTAAGGTCACTGTAGCATGTGGACTTAGATTACACTGAACTGACAAAAACAATAAAGGTTACCTCCTCCTTTGTGATTTGTGACCTTTTTTAAGTTTCATCATGTGGAAATCGAATCAAAGAGCTCTAACCTGTATGTGGCTCTCAGCCCCACACTGTTCATACTGAGGACGTAACTCTTTAAAAACATGGTGACGACTAAACTTTAATTTGTAAAAAGGAGCTAAATGATTTCCTAAAACAGTGCAACAGTGTGACTCAATGGTGTGTTTTTAATAGTTTTAATCAACAATGTTGTTATGGCACAGAGTTTTGGTCTTTTCGTGGGATTTGTTGACAGTAAGTGAAATATTAAATATAACCAGACTTGTCTTTTTAAAATAATGGCTGCCTGAAGGAGAAGAAACAAAATGAATGCTTAGTAAAAAGAAAATGGTGTTAACATGTTAAAAGTTAAAAACAACAGTATTCGAACCACTGTCATGCTCAAGATTGCATTAAAGGCTGAAGTAACATCAAAAACAGACATGAAAGAAATAAAATCACCTGATGGAGTTGACAGCCAGTTCTTTCAGAGTCCCCAGGTTTGCCTTCAATCCCCCGATGCCCACAAAGGCTTGATAGAAGTCGTAGGAGAGGCCTGTGGTACCAAACAGAGATGGGTCATCAGAGCTGATCACCATCGGGTGGCCCTCAGACATCAGCACAGTGGCAGGGTGGTTCCTGAGGTCTGATACCAGCTTCAGCACCTGGAGGTCAGATATGAAATACACATAGGCACTTAATGTATGAACACAGCTACACATTTTCTTTGCTGTTGTGCCAAACAATAGGTTATGTGACCTGGTTTGAGATGGGGCACAGCTCCACAGCCACGTTTCTTTTCCTAGAAAGCTCTTTGGCGAGTGGATGGTGAGCCAAAGCATAACCGTGCCCGATGCGTGTGGTGTTGAACAAAAGGGCATCAAGAATGTTTTGATCTATGTCTGTGCCTTCGTCATCTGGAATTAAAGTATATGTTTTAAAAGATTTGGAAACATGTTCCGCTTTCTAATCAGTGATAATGTATTGATCCACCCACCTGTCTCTCCTGCATGAAAGAAGTACGGTAGTGTGACACCCAGTTCAGCTGGCAGAGAAAGTGCCTCCCTGAAGTACCACAGAGTCATCCCACCGTCCTCCCTGCCAACCTGCAAACATTAATAGTAGCTTATGGATGAACAAATTATTTTCTCACAACGTGTTAATTGTCAAATAAAAGGCAAACAAGACAGATCACTTCCTACCATGTCAAATCCGGCGACAACATCTGGGAAGTCCTTCTGCAGCTGAATGGCCTGTTTGACGGCTGCTTTGACCTCAGATACACTAAGAGCCCTGAAGAGAGCAGCAACGATAATAGACAGAGAAGTGAGTGCTGTATTAAACACAAAAAGTAATGTGGCAAACATCATGACAACAGGTGCAAAAGACAGTAATACACACTGGTGAACAACAAGAGTAGATCCTCACCACCACTGACAAAAAGATAGTTAAAGGTCCCATATTGTACAAAGAGAGATTTCATGTCTTCTTTGATTATAAAGCAGGTCTAGTTTCTATATCAATACCTTGAAAGTATCAAAACACTCCGTCCATAGCCCCAGCCACGACCCAAGCCCAGCCCACCTAGAACCACCATCCAACCTTGCTGGGTTTGGTTTCTCTGAGTGTTTACTTGAAATCTGCTATATTTTTTATTTGACCACTCAGGAAACAATCAGCCAACGACCTATTGTTGCTAGATTGGTATTTTAAACCACAAATATATCTCATATCATCAAAACTTCAAATAATACACCTGAAAGGTGTAAAATATGAGACTTTTAATGGGATAACTGATTATTGTCACATTTTATGAGTAGCGGGGACACGCATTACTACTACTACTACTACTCCAGTTTGCACACATGCTTTCCTCCAGAGCCACAGGAGACATTGTACAACTGTTTTCACATGCTGAGTTGTACTAAATTGGTGGAATGCCCCTTTAATAATTCTTAATAACCCGATATCGCTCTAAATTTCCAGGAGTTAGGAAATGAAATTAGGGAAAATATATTAAATTATGATTATATATTTAATTTTCTAAAACTATGCTACAGTGACCTTTACATTTAAGCTCTGATATCATGCCACATCGTCCCCACTTTGGTTAAAATGTACGTTCATGTAATTCAAAATCGAACCACCATACTATCATTAATTGGCAAATACATACATTTACTGAAGTACTATACTTAATTAAAATTTTATGACACAAACTATTTGTTTTGCTTAGTGACCACTTTTATTTTTCGTACTTCAAGTGCATTTGGCTGAGAACACAAAAAGATTTTGACGTTTTTATTAAATTTTTTGCCTTACTATAATATGACATTTTTTTGACATTTTATGCCTAACTATACTATGACATTTTTATGACAGGTTTTGCCCCATTACACTATGAGGTTTTAATGACACACTATACTATGATGTTTTTATGACATTTTATGCCTTATTGTACTATGAAGTTTTTATGACTCACTGTACTGTGACGTTTTTATTCATTTATTCATTTTTATGACATTTTATGCCTTATTGTACTTTGACGTTTTTATGACATTTTATGCCTTACTATACTATGACGTTTTTATGACATTTTTTGCCTTAATATACTATGACTTTTTTATGATATTTTATGGCTTAATATACTATGACGTTTTTATGACATTTTATGCCTTACTATACTATGACGTTTTTATGACATTTTATGCCTTATTGTACTATGAAGTTTTTATGACTCACTATACTGTGACGTTTTTATTAGATGTTTTGCCTTACTATACAACGACATCTTTATGACATTTTATGCCTTACTATACTATGACATTTTTATGACATTTTATGCCTCACTATACTATGACGTTTTTGTGACATTTTATGCCTCACTATACTATGACGGTTTTATGCATTACTATACTATGATGTTTTTATTACATTTTTTGCATTATTGTACTATGAAGTTTTTATGACTCATTATACTGTGACGTTTTTGTGATATTTTTTGACATTCTATGCCTTATTATACTATGGGGGTTTTATGAGATTTTATCCCTCACTATCCTATGACATCTTTATGCCTTATTATACTATGATGTTTTTTTATGACTCACTATACAATGATGTTTTTATGACATTTTATGCCTTATTTTACTGTGAAGTTTTTATGACTCACTATACTGTGATGTATTTATTAGATGTTTTGCCTTACTATACAGTGATGTTTTTATGACATTTTATGCCTTACTATACTATGATGTTTTTATGACATTTTTTGCCTTACTATACTATGGCGTTTTTATTACATTTTTTGCCTTACTATACTATGACATTTTTATGGCTTACAATACTATGACGTTTTTTGACATTTTATAGCTTATTATACCATGATGTTTTTTTCCTATTATGCCTCACTATACTATGACAATTTTATGCCTTACCATACTATTAAATTTTTGTGACATATTATGCCATATTGTACTATGACTTTTTCATGCCTTACTATACTATGACATTTTTCTGACACTTTTTGCCTCACTATACTATGACTTTTTTATGCCTTACTATACTATGACGTTGTTTTGAAATTTTTTACCTTACTATACTATGATGTTTTTATGCCATACTATACTATGACATTTTTATGACATTTTTTGCCTTACTACACTATGACATTTTTTGCCTTACTACACTATGACATTTTTTATGACATTTTTATGACAATGTTTGCCTTATTGTACTATGAAGTTTTTATGACTCACTCAATGATGTTTTTATTAGATGTTTTGCCTTACTATACTATGACGTTTTTATGACATTTTTTGCCCTATTATACTATGAAGGTTTAATGACTCACTATACTATGATGTTTTTATGACATTTTTTGCCTTATTGTATTATGACATTTTTATGAAATTTTTTGCCTTATTTTATTATGACATTTTTATGACATTTTTTGCCTCATAATATTATGACGTTTTTATTACATGTTTTGCCTTAATATACTATGACGTTTGTATAAATTTTTTTGCCTTATTATACTATTACATTTTTATACTTTACTATGATGTATATGATATTTCATTCCGTACTATACTATGACTTTTTAGGATGTTTTATGCCATACTATACTATGATATTTGATGGCTTACTATATGATGACATTTTATGCCTTATCATACGATGATGTTTTTATGAAATGTAATCATTACTATTCTCTTGCATTTTCATGACACCTAAACTTTGACTTTTTTATGCCTAACTATACTGACGTTCGAAGACTCAGGTCTTTTGGAGTGCAGGGTGCATTCCTGTGGACCTTGTATGACTCTGCGGTGACATTAGCCATCTCCTATGTTGTGGTTGCTGGGGCAGCAGCATCTCCACTGCTGACAGGGGAGGGCTAAACAGAGTGATCAAGAAGGCCAGCTATCTTCTGGGATACTCCCTTGACCCAGTGGAGGTAGTGGGTAACAAGAGGATGATGGCTAAGCTGTCATCCCTGTTGGACAACATCTCCCACCCCATGCAGGACACTCACAACACTGAGCAGCCTTCAGTGACAGGCTGCTGCACCCGCAGTTGATGAAGGAAAAATATCACAGATTTTTCCTTCCCTCTGCTGTCAGACTGTACAAACACTGCACTCAGTGACCTCACACACCAAAGACTGACATTCCAACATGTGCAATAATTCTTATCACCATCTGTGCAATACAACTCATCTGCTGCTACTTTTTGTATTCTGTATCTTGTAGATTTAAATATTTAATTGTACATATTATATTTTATTATAATATCTATCTTATTTAAGTATTTTGTTTTTGTCATTTTGCAGTTTGTTTTCTTTCTTTGTAATGTCGACTTTGCTGCTGTGACACTATACATTTTCCCATTGTGGCACTAATAAAGGAATATCTTATCTCATGACATTTCATTCCTTACTATACCATGACGTTTGTATGACATTTTGTGCTTTACTACACTGTGATGTTTTTATGACATTTCATGCCCTACTATACCATGATGTTTTTATGACATTTAATGCCTTACTATACTATGTTATTTTCATTCCTTACTATACTATAATATTTTTATGACATTTTATGCCATATTGTACTATGTAATTTTTATGCCTTAATATACTATGATGTTTTTATGTCTTACTATAATATAACATTTTCATTCCTCACTATAATATGATGATTCTCTGCCATTTTTTGCCTTACTATACTATGATATTTTTATAAGATTTTATGCCTTACTATACTGTGGTTTTTTTCTGGTATTTTATGCCTTACTATACTATGACATTTTTATGCCTTATTGTACGATGACATTTTATGCCTTATTATACATAGACATTTTATGCCTAATTATATGATGATGTTTTTTTATGACACCTTATGCCTTAGTATACTATTACATTTTCATGACACTTTATACCTTCTTATACAATTACTTTTTTATGCCTTATTATACTGTGACGTACGGAGACTCAGGTCTTTTGGAGTGCAGTGTGCACTCCTGAGGACCTTGTATGATTCTGTGGTGACATCAGCAATCTTCTATGTTGTGGTCTGCTGGGACAGCAGCATCTCCACTGCTGACAGGGGAAGACTAAACAGACTGATCAAGAAGGCCAGCTATGTTCTGGGATGCCGCCTTGATCTAATGGAGGAAATGGGTGACAGGAGGATGATGGCTAAGCTGTCATCCTTGTTGGACAACATCCCCCACCCCTTGCAGGACACTCTGACAACATTGAACAGTTCTTTCACCCGCTATGTGTGAAGGAGAGATACCACAGGTTTTTCCTTCCCTCTGCTGTCAGACTATACAAACACGACACTCAGTGACCTCACACACCAAAGGCTGACAATCCAACATGTGCAAGAATTCTACTCACCATCTGTGCAATACAACTCATCTGCTGCTACTTTTTGTATTTTTTATCTTGTGAATTTAAATATTTAAGTGTACAATTATATTTTATTATATTATTTATCTTTTTTAAGTATTTGTTTTTTTTCATTTTATAGTTTGTTTTCTTTCTTTGCAATGTCAATTTTGCTACTGTGACACTGTGAATTTACCTGTTGTGGCACCAATAAAGGAGTATTTTGTCTTATCTCATGACATTTCATTCCTTACTATACTATGACATTGTTTTGAATTTTTTTTGCCTTACTATACTATGATGTTTTAATGCCTTAATATACTATGACGTTTTTTTTTACATTTTTTGCCTTACTGAACTATGACATTTTAATGATATTTTATGCCTTAATATACCA